ACAGGCAAATTATTCAAAATAGGAAATGATGAAATTGTTCATACAGTATGAAAAATAGAAGAAATTGAACAATTTTCACCATATAATTAGTCAATAGCATGGCGTCTCATCATTATAACTTGCTGCAATCATTTTCTAAAGTTGTTAATGAGATTTGAACAAGTCTTTTCTAGGATTGTCATCCATTATGCAAAGGTTAGACGTTCTAATTCTAGACGTTTTTTTGGTGACCGACAGTTTATTCGAACTTTCATTTCTTCTCGTAGATTTTTTAATAGGATTCAATCAGGACTCATTGAAGGCCATGGCGGAACTCTAAACCACTTTTTTCTGAAGCCACACAGTAACTGATTTAGACGTATGTTTGGGATCATTATCTTGCTGGAGAGTAAAGTGCCGACCTAGATGAAGATTTTGCGCTGATATTTGTAGGTTTTTGCCAAGAATTTTGATATAGTGTGCAGATTTTATTATTCCTTTTATTGTCCAGTCAGCCTTGCGCTAAACCAACCCCAAAACATCATCGAGCCGCCTCCATGTTTTAATGATGCCACTGTGTTCTTCGGGAGGAAACTCTTACCTTTCTTGCGCCAAATCCCCAGTTCATCATTATGCCTCAAAAGCTCAATTTTTGTTTAATCACGCCATAGTACTTGTTCCCCAAAGAAATTTTCTATGTCCAAGAAGGTTTTGGCAAAATTAAACCGTGCAACAATGTGACATGTTTTGTGAAGAGGGGTTCGTCGTTGGTCGGTTTCCATACAACCCATTTCTATTTAAACAACGTTGTATTGTGCGAGAAGTTACGCTAATACCCATCTTATCCAAACTTTTGGCGATGTCTTTTAAAACAACTTTTGGGTTTATATTAACCTCGCGACACAATTTTCAAAGTTGTTTCTGACAACTTGCGTTTTCTTCCACGGCCAGGAAAATTCTCTGTAGTGCTAGACTGTTTAAACTTCTTTATAATTGTTTATACGGTATATCTAGGGATAGCTAACTGGTTTTTAAAATTGCGTAACTGTTTCCCGACTTGTGGAAGTTAATAATTCTATGTCTCTATTCAATGCTGAGCTCGAGTCTTCTCCATCTTGGTGTTGATGTAAGAATAACAACAGTGGCAATCTATGCATTGAATTATCACAAATAATCTATGAATAAATAGTATAGAAGCCTTCAACGATAAAATAATTATGTAAATTACTTAAACTTCCACGAATCCATCAATTTAAAACGATATTTTCTATTGTACTAATAATTTTGTCTCTTCCAATTTTGGATAATTCGCCTGTCAAATTTGTTTTATTTAACCTATTGTTCTGAAAATTGAGTTTATATTCTTCTTTTGTGCATACTAACATATGACAAATATAGCATCATACTGCTATTAGATTCTGAGAAATGGATAAAAAATATTCAAAATTGATGGGTATACGAATAATTTCGTCGTTGAATATATATATATATATATATATATATATATATATATATATATATATATATATATATAGTTTATGCAAAACTCGGTAATCCGCATGGGTAGACCTGTACCTGATACCAATGGTCCGTTAACATCCCAACTACAAAAGAAAATAATTAGGGCCTTCAGATTTCTAGGGTTTAAAATCGAGATTTCTTACAATTTAAAAATAGTAAACTTCCTAGACGTTACATTTAATCTGAACAATAACACTTATAAACCCTTCCAAAAGGAAAACCAATCACCCATATATATAAGTATCCACTCCAATCACCCGAAATCAATAATTAAACAAATTCCAAATACAGTAAATGCAAGAATAGATACACTCTCCTCCAGTAAAACCATTTTTAACCAGAATAAATCGGAATACAATAAAGCCCTATTAAAAAGTAATTTTAAACAGACACTAAATTACATAGATAAGTCAGTAAATAAAAAATCCACTAAACCCAAAAATAGGAAAAAGAAAATTATATGGTTCAACCCACCTCTTTGTAACCCCTCCAATATTAATATAGGTAAATACTTCATAAAACTGATAGAAAAACACTTTAGCAAAAATTCATCTCTAAAAAAGATATTCAACAAGATGAATCTAAAGATTAGCTATTCTTGCATGGATAATATGTAAAGAATTATTAGCTCATACAATAGTAAAATCTTGAGAGACATTCATGATAATCTAATACAAAATCATAATACAACCCGAATGGAAAAATCAACATGCAACTGCAGGACAGGATCCGAGTGCCCAGTTGAAGGAATATGCATGGCAGAGAACACAATATATGAAGCAACAATTTTCCCCAAAGAAAAGGTTGAGGAGAAAAAGATATACATAGGAATATCGGCGGGAGATTGGAAACATCGCCAGTCCTTCAAAATTAAGTGTAAAAACAACCAAACGACACTATCAAAACATTATTGGGATTTGTTGGAGAGTGGCCTAACCCCACAAATAAAGTGAAAAATAATATCAAGAGTCAGAACTCAAAAAAACTTCAGAGACAGATGCGACTTATGCTTAAAGGAGAAAATCTTCATAATCAAACATAAAGATCCAGACTTATTAGTAAATAGACACAATGAACTAGTTTTTAAATGCCGACACAAAAACAACCAAAACCTAACAAAATACATTGAGAAATAATTATATAGGAAGAATAACAGTGAATGATTTTTGTTCCTTTTGCTTTTGTAAATATTACTATGCACGCATGAACGCCAACACATGACTGTATGTATACAACTATGGTATTGTACTTGAACACTGATGCACCTGTTGATATGTACATGTATATGTTTTTATATGGAAAGAAAGGCATACACGGTTTCTTTTTTTATGTGAGTGTGGAGATGTACAATTAGATGGGTACCTATATGTTTTGCCATAGATATGAAAGAGCGGGTAATATATGTGTAGAGATATGTATAATTATACGATTTCGGTATCCAAAATGTAATTAAATATTGATATAGTCTTCGAATGCAGGCATAAGTGGGTGTATGGGTGGACATGAGGAGAGAGACATGTACGTGTGTATATATGTGTACGTGCATATGTACGCATATGTATGTATGTGGATATATTGCATATTTTGTATGTATATGCATGTATGTGTGTGTATGTATGTGTGTGTGTGTATATATATGTATGTGTATGTGTATACATATATATGTGTAAATGTATATGTGCGTATGTACATGGATATGTATATATATGCAGGTAATTTTATGTGTATATATGTATATATATGTAAGTATAAGTATATGGATGTGTTGGATGTAGATATGTGGGTATGTGTTTCTCTGCAGGTGTATATGTGTAAATATGGGAATATACATATTTTTTTTTCGTGTGGATGTGTGTGCAGGTGTATATAAGAACTCATAGGTATATAGTGTGATATAGGTATGTGGATATAGATAGGGGTTCGGACATGTGTAGAACTGCATATGAGTAATTTTCTCCTAGTAATATTTTATCCAAATTTCTCCTCTAATATTCTCCAATTGTAAGTGAGTTTAAATAACACGGAGGTAAAGTTTAAATTGGTAATTTAATTTAAACTGAAATATACTACCCTTTAAAAATTAGTATTGACGATAAAGTTATTTAAATTGAAAGAACCTTTGATAATTTTGTAGGTATATTAAAAAAGTTACGAGATAATCAATGAACAAAACTGAAACGAATAGATGTCAACTGAATAATCAACTCGAGTTTATTTAATTAATGAACAAAAACCAAACGAATAGATGTCAACTTAACAATCAATAAGATACAAGCTTAGAAAAATAAAAAAGATTACTAAATATAAAATGGATTACTTTTTCAATGTACTCTCTATGAGTTTTTCCAATCGACTGTTTCATAGAAAATACTCAAAACTCCAACGAACTTCAAATTAAATTCTTCGTAGATTGTTTAGACATTTAGATTTATATCAAACAATAACCTCCCAAATATGCCCTTTAAAGTAATGCGAATTAACAGCGTCTAAGAATTTGAATGAAACCTGCCCTCGTGGAATGTAATTTATTAGGGTTGTTGTAGCTTCTTCCTTTAATGTCGGTCTTCTCCTCACCCCTTACCCATCTATATCTAGAGACAATACGCGTTTAGACCAACACACAGTGGGGTTAAAAATAAGGAATTGAAATGGTACATCTAACTCACTCATATCTTATCTTTCTCCCACCTCACTTCCTCACTTCGTTAATTTTACATATGCTTGATGCGGTCCGTCAAAAACGTGTGAATTTCTTTCATTTTCATTTTAACCTTTGGAAGTAAAGTCTGATGATCCAGAGCCCTGTTAAAGGGGTTGTGGTGAAATAACTTATTACATGGAACCTTAAAGTGGTCTGTTTTTATTCAAACATATACATACATACATACATATACATATATATATATATATATATATATATATATATATATATATATATATATATATATATATGTGTGTGTGTGTGTATGTATTCAGTTAACATTTTAGCTAAATACGTTTCGTTGAATATAACAGACAAGAACACTTTAATATACTTCGTTTTTCATCTTCAAGCGAATTTTCTAATAACTTATTTTTACATTTACTGAGTTTTAAATTTCTATGTATCCTTGGAAACAGGAAATTATGAATTTGTATTTGCGTTTAAACTCAGTAAATTTAAAAATAAGTTATTCCAAAATTCGCTTGAGGATGAAACATGACTGCTTTTAATTTAATTATATAATTAAATTTGAGGTGTTTACCTTCACTTTTTGAAACATGGTTATTAATGTGTAACGATGGAACCATATTTTCAATCGGGTAATTTATAATAGTTATGCTGTGTAAATTTACTCTTTTGTAAATATAAAAATAAAAACATATCAATAAGATAACACCGGATTATATATCTTACTGTTCTTTCTTTATATATATATATATATATATATATATATATATATATATATATATATAAGAGAGAGAGAGAGAGAGAGAGAGAGAGAGATATGAATGAATACATATATAGATAGATAGGAACATAAGCAGATAGATAGATAGATAGATAGATAGATAGATAGATAGATAGATAGATAGATAGATAGATAGAGCTGTAGATAGAGAGGAACATTAGCAGATAGACAGATACATATATAGATAGATAGAAACATAAGCAGATAGATAGATAGATAGATAGATAGATAGATAGATAGATAGATAGATAGGAACATTAGCAGATAGACAGATACATATATAGATAGATAGAAACATAAGCAGATAGATAGATAGATAGATAGATAGATAGATAGATAGATAGATAGATAGATAGATAGATAGAGCTGTAGATAGAGAGGAACATTAGCAGATAGACAGATACATATATAGATAGATAGATAGATAGATAAGCAGTAGATAGATAGATAGATAGATATGAATAGATAGATATAGATAGAGAGAAATATAACATTACAGATAGATAAGATAGATATATAGATAGATAGAAAGATAGAAGATAGATAGATAGATAGATAGAAAGCAGATAAGATACATAGATAGATAGAGAAACATAATAGATAGATAGATAGATAGATAGATAGATAGATAGATAGATAGATAGATAGATAGATAGATAGATAGATAGATATATACAGATAGATAGACAGATATTATATATAGATAGATAGATACATAGATAGATAGATAGAAACATAATAGATTAGATTGATAGATAGATAGATATGGATAGATAGATAGATAGATAGATAGATAGATAGATAGATAGATGTATGGATATAGATAGATTTGAACAATAGAGATAGATAGATAGATAGATACATATATAGATAGATAGAAACATAAGTAGATAGATAGATAGATAGATAGATAGATAGATAGATAGATAGATACTGCACTACGCAGCATGAACAAAATCTTTCTAAATTTAACTCACCTACAATAAAATGACTGATCGATTTTCGCGAGGACTTAACGTTTATGATCGAAATGGGATGTCACAATGGTTAAGTGTTTGTATAATTTATTCAAGTCTTGGAAAGTCTTTACAAATATCGATTTTTCGAATACCTTGAGCGTTGTAGATATATATTTCATGCATTCCCATGTTAATTTGAGAGACTGTTGTGTATATTTGAAATCAACAGCTAGTGCCGTTGGCTGGATAGAGAAAAAAAGGAACACGGATACACACAGATCAATGGATATATATATATATATATATATATATATATATATATATATATATATATATATATATATATATATACACTAAATTACGTAATCTAATGTCTAAATCACTTCCACATTTCATTTAAACTGTTAAATTATTTATGAGCATCTTTAAATTAAAAAATGCCATTTAAAAATTATTTTATGACATTTTCTAGGTTCTCGAGCCTAAACTTTTCAGTTAACCTTTTGAAAAGTTATGAGCGTTCTTTAATTTAAAAAAATTGAGTAACTGTCAAATGTTTACTTGTTGCAAAATAAAACTTAAACATTTATCTTGATAATGTCAGTCAGATGACGAAACAACGTCTACCTAAAAATAATATAATTACAACAGCATTTGGGTGTTTAATTTTTTATCTAGAATATCTATCTATCTCTATATATATATATATATATATATATATATATATATATATATATATATATATACTATATATGAATCCAGATATTTCGACATGTTTTCATTCAGACAGGTTTCGTTAAAAAAATTTAGGCATGTTCTGAAATACAAACTTTATCTTGCGTGTTGGCTCATATTGTAAATTTATTAATACTTTCGACATAACCCAATGTCATCATCAAAACACATTAAATATAGAGTAAGCATTCATGTTTGTGAAGGACCAAAATTCTTGTGGTCATCCGAAGATTACCATTTTTATAAGTGGAGTCACGAAGGTTGTGTCATGGCTGGTTAACAGACAAATTTTTTAAAAAGGAAACAATAGGTAAAATGTTTCATTTTTTGAATAGTTGCCAGATAAAGAAAAATCTATTAATGACAAGCGCTGACTTTTAACGATTATCTATTGTACACATTTTAAAATGGTAGAGTATTCGTAATTACTTTTATTGAGGTTTGGTTTCATTTTTTTTAAATAAATAGCTTCTAGAATTTTTAGTTTCTGTTTATTCTTTTTCGTCGTTCACAACCATGAATGCAAAGTACTTACAGTATATTTAACAATACCCTGATGATGCTATGTCGAAAGTTCTCGTAATAAATATTAAATATATTTATGTTGTTTTCCTCTTATTTTTTTCCGTGTAGCGCAAAAAAGCTTATTCGCTGAATATGAAAGGATATTATCTATCTATCAAATCTATTTATCTATTATATATATATATATATATATATATATATATATGTATGGATTTGTGTCCCCTGTATATATATATATATATATATATATATATATATATATATATATATATATAAAAAGAGAAACAATTGTCTAGATTTGAAAAGTCAGATTTATAGGTAAATATAACCAAAAATTAATTTGGCCTGACAAATGCGTATTTTTATGAAACACTTACTTTTAAAAAATATTTTTATGAATACTTTATATTTCAAATTTTCTATTTTTGATATTGACAGACTTTTACATAAACAATCTTCTTTTTAGAATATATATTATATATATATATATATATATATATATATATATATATATATATATATATATGATATGTGTATGTGTTCTGTGTAATTTTCAATGCTTCCTTTTAAAATTTTAAAGGAAAAAATAAACAAAAAAAAATACATCGAATCAAAAAGAGACTTTAAATTTTCTGAAGGTATTTAGATGAAAAATGGCCTGGACATATTAAAGACATGAGAAACAGACAAAAGCTGCGAATATCCAATCTAAAGTGCTTGTGTATATGGTTGGAAGTATAGCGATTAAGGAAAGTGTCTTTTTTAAATACGAATTATACTCTATGAAACGCTTGAAATAATAATATGTCCGATTTGAAACAAACCCATTAATTCTTTAGAAATTGCTTTTGTTTGTGTTTCGAATAACGATATTGAGCAGATACGAAGCTTTCAAGAAAATAATCTGATAGAAGAGACGGCAAAAAAGGAGAAAATAGAGCCATGCTTGCTGTGACGTTCTCTACAAAGGAGATGCAGTTTCAGTCCCTGTGAGGTAAATATTCCAAATTTAATCTAAAATAAATTATATATATATATATATATATATATATATATATATATATATTATTCGACTCTCCCGAAGAAATTCGACGGATGAGTCCAAAAGCAGATCACAAAAAAGGAAACCGAGATTTACAACAGCATATGAGATTTGATTATAGTGGTGAAGGTTTGAATAGGACCATCCATATCTTTTGGGAAAGGCCGAATACAGAGACCTTGGTGTACTATTGCCACAAGGTCCCCAAACGACCCTCCGCAGGTTTTGAATTCAGAGTTGTCCCTTCCTCGACTATTTAACCATTCATCGTATATAGAACCCAGTCTGTATATATATATATATATATATATATATATATATATATATATATATATATATATATATATCCGTTAAATTTTTTTAAGAGCGTTATTCGGACAGTCTTTATATAATTTATTATCTGAAAAAAAAAATATTAGATCACATGAGAGAATTTAAAAAAATACTCAAATGAATTTGTTCAAATTTATTCAATGAAATGTGCATTGAAAAGATTGATTTCTGACTTGAATACACAAAACTTAAAAATAAGAAATATATATATATATATATATATATATATATATATATATATATATATATATATATATATATATATAATTTTCATGGTAATTGCTCCGATGAGCTGCTTTCTTTGGTTCACAGACTTCGTAAAGAATTTTGCGTCCTATGATATTCATCCCGCTCTCACCCTTTCACTGTTGAACATGTTAAATGTAGCCGTCTCTTTTTAAATCCAATAGCATTCATATCTCGCATCTCTCGCCTTTGGAACTTCTCTTCAATATTCCTGTTTCCCTGATAATAAATAATCTCCAACAATTCAAATGTAATATCAATCAATATCTCCATTTGCCTGTTTCTATGCATTATCCTATCTCCTCATCCAATATATTTCTTTTTACCTTATTTCGTTCCAAATCCTCTAAAAACCCCTTGCGTGCTAGTTAATTTGAATTGTATAGTGAAATGAAATATATATATATATATATATATATATATATATATATATATATATATATATATATCAAATGACAATTAAAAAATTCATACATTTTACCGACGCGTTTCGTAAATTTTTTTTCAAGGCAAAATGAAAAAAATGTTTTTGTTGTTATAGTTACATTAAAATCCAAATTAAAAAAAAGATACATTTTTAATTTCTAATTTTTTTTTCTGGTTAATGTAAATTAACTTTTATTTTTAAAATATTATTATTTTTTTTTTCCATATGGACAATAAATTCAATATAATAAATTGAAAAATAATAATAATAATAAATATGTTTTATTATATAGTTAATTTACATTATTATAAAAAAAAATTTATTGTTTTATTGAAAATATTTTTGATATGTTATAGACATAGCCATTTTTTACAATATAGATATATTTATATTTTATAATATAGACGCAGTTATATTTTATAATACAGACATATTCATTTTCATAAAGATTCTAGCTCTTTAATAAGTTTCTTGTTGTTGAGATGAAATTCAATAAGGGAGGCGCCGTAGTTGTTTCCTACCCGAATACGTTCGATCTCTTTCGAGATCATCCTCAGGGGAGAATTACAAAAACAAACTAATTGGAACTGTGATCATTGTGACGTGGAAATTTAAAAACGCGCCTGATTGCGCTCTGTTATAATTATTTTAAAACTCCGGCGCCTTAGTTTTGATAATTTTTCAATTTTTTATGAAATTGAAGATTGCTGCCTAAATATGCATAAATACATATATAAATATACTAAATCCAACAGACACATAAAATATATATACAGGCTGCGATGAGAAAAAAGTGTCGCCATTTTATTTATTTAACTTCGCGCATGCGCTTTGTTTTTGATTTTGTCTACTGCATAGTATAGTATGATCAATTTGCACCGTCTACGAGAAAAAAAGAGCTCCATCACTCAGATCAATTCTCAAGAAATTTAGAAACGTCATTGGCATTCGCCTGAAAAACAATATGAATATTTCAGAGAGTTTGAGTATCAATCTGTGGAGAGTTCAGAGGATTTGCACAAAGTTAAATGAGTCTAATCTTACTCTGATTGTTCGGATAAGAAACAATTCGTGAATTTGTTGTTTAGATCCAGGCCATGATTGACAACGATCTCTCCAAGTCAATCGGACACATAGCCAGGAAAACATGAGTATTTGAGTTTCGTATCAGGCTGGTGGTGCTTGAAGGCATTCAGTATTTCTTATACAAGATGAGAAAGGGCCAATTTTTATCCGAGTTGAAGGACAAGAGGAAAAACCGCGCTACGAAGCTTTTGTGCAAACTCAAGTATACCCTCGAACCGAACATTGTTTTGTTTATTCTAAGACGTGAAAGATTTCTGCCAGGATAAGATGGTGAATACACCAAACCATCGATGGCTTGCTGTATCCCAAGAAAAAGATGCATTGGGAAAGTTAAAAACCAAATATTCAATCAACATCATGGTATCTTGAGTGATCACACGTGATGGCGACGTTATGTGACCCCTGTGCCTCTGACCCCGTGTTATCCTGTGACGACCAATGTGACTTGGTATTGGTCGCGGCGCCAAATGTGATGTTCTAACCCTTGGCTGATTCGGATGGAAATCTAGTTAGATTCGGTATCAGCTTTGTCGTTCCCAGCTCGCCTCCAACGTCTGGTTACCGAAGTAACTGCTTTGATTTCTAGTCTAACCTAC